TTTCATCTGCTTTTAGATTGTAGAGGGTGTTATAGAAGGTCACTAGTTCCCTATTCATGTCTTGTGGATTCCATAGTTTTTGGTTACTTTTTGAGAGAATGTATGGAATCTTGGAGTTAGATTGCTTTTTGCGTAACATGTTGGCCAGCAGTTTGCTAGCTTTGTTCCCTTTCGCATAATGGTTCATTTTGAATTTTTTCAGAATGTATGCCGTTTTTTGGAATTGGTGGTCATTAATTTTGGAGGTGATGTTTTGGATTTCCGATAGGAGATCCTGTTTTTTTGTTTGGTAATAAGTTTGGGTCGTATCTCTTAATTGTATGAGCAGTTTCATCAGTGTTGCACGTCTTTGTTTATTGAGATATGATGCTCTGCGGATCAACAGTCCTCGTACGACTGATTTATGTGCTTGCCACAGAATCGGGGCCGTGGTCTGGGGGTTCTCGTTAGTAGTAAAGTATTGTTTAAGTTCTTGGTCTAGTGTGAGGGTGAAGTCTTGGTCGTGAAGCAGTGAGTTGTTTAGTCTCCATGAGCCTTTGCCTTTGTATGTGAATGCGTCAGTGAGTGTCAGTATCACTGGGGCGTGGTCCGACCATGTAATATCTCCATGTATACATTGGTGCGTGTGTGGTAATCCTGTGCTGGTCATGAAAAAATGATCTATCCTAGAGTGGGTCTTGTGCACTTGGGAGTAGTAGGTGTAGTCCTTATCTCCTGGATGTAGTGTGCGCCACACATCGTATAAGTTAAATTGAATTAGCAGTTTATTAAGTTTGGCGCAGGCCGGTCTAAGAGATGCCAGTCTGGTTTTTTTTGCGTCTAGTGTAGTGTCCATTTCTGGGTCTAGGGTGTGGTTTAGGTCTCCACAGTATATTACTATGCCTTGTTGTACAGTACTCACTTTAGTCAGTATTTTATGTAGGAAGTGCCATTGATTGTCGTTTGGTGCGTAGATATTGACTATGGTGTATGTGACATCATTGAGGTTGCATATTAGGATGAGGTATCTCCCATTGGCGTCTTTAACTATTTTGAGTGGATCAAATGCCACTGATTTGTGTATTAGAATGCTAACTCCTCTAGATTTGTGGCTATGTGTGGAGTGGTATTGGTTTGGGAATTGTGAAGGGTCCAAGGAAGGAGATGTCTGCCTTTTGAAGTGAGTTTCTTGGAGGCAGATCACATCCGCGTTGTGGTTTTTCAGTTCTGTGCGCAATGTTTGGCGTTTTTGGGGGGTATTTAGGCCCCTTACATTATGTGAATATATTTTCATTATGGGGTTGGGCAGGTTGGAATTCTTCATCTGTTGTTGAGTAGTTCAGTATAATGTTTAGTGATAGTCTGCCTCGGTATGCCAGCCATGGTGTGTGCCTGGTGATGAGCGACTTGCGGACTGTTTGCTTGATATGCATAGGTTTGGGTGTAGTGGGTTCTTGATCCTTCTCATGGTTTGCAACTAGGGGTAAGGATAGGTGGGGTATAAACCTGAGTCTCGTAGAGAGCTCAACTATGTACAACAATGCCCAGATGTAGGGCTCGGTACTCCTTGGTAGTACCTGGGGTGTGGTGAGCATTTACTTTCTGCTCACGAAGGAGGCTACCTGGGCTCCTTCATTGTTTAGGTATTATCATATGCCCCGAAATTCATGCCAAGCTAGTATCCCTGATTATGGGTTTGGTGCCTTATCTTAGTATAGGTACCGAGGCCAGAGGGAGTGCAAGTGCTGTTTTTTTTTTTGTTTTTTTTTTCTCAATTTATATCACCCCGGCAATTGCTACAGTGTGTTGGGGAAAGCTGCCACAGCTTCTTGTACTAAGAATGCTAGTGCGTCTGTGCTGTGCTTCGTGTCGGGGTATTTTGGTTAGCGTGTCCCCACCTTCCCCCCGACCTCTTGCTCCGTTTGATTCTAATATACAGTAGTAGAGTAATAATAATATTAACTTTTTTTTTTTTTTTTCAGTTGTACAATCTTAGATAGGCATTCAGGTTGTGGTGCAGCTAACTTTGCGTCTGCAATTCAGCTTCACTTCAATTCCAGCAGGTTAGGGTCAGTAGGTTATCCATAACCCTTTTGTCTTAGGTGTGGGTTGGTGGGTGTGCCTACTCAATTAGGTAGGGGGTAAATCTGAGCTAGATTTGGTCTACTTTTGGCATTCGGGGTTCTAGTGTGCGTTGGCGTGCGTGTAGGTGTTGTCTGTGCCATTGAAATGTGCGGGTTGAGGTGTCACAAAGTTAACAAAATTAACATAAGCAAACATAAACAATTGGTTCATTATATACATTACCAGCCTCTACTCGTTATATCTTATTATCAGTCCAGATTGGCTGGTATAAGTCTATTGATACTATGCTTTGCGCCATTCGCGATGCAGCATGGCAGATTCTCTAGTCGGCTTGCTTGGTGTAGGTAAGTTTCATTCCTTGAGGAGCTTTTCACCATCTTCTGGCGAGGCCAATATCTTCGTCGCGCCGTCTTTGGTGATGAGAAGCTTGAGGGGGTAACCCCACCGGTAAGCTATTTGGTGCTGCCTGAGGATGATAGTGATGGGTTGGAAGGCTTTCCTCCTTCTCAGCGTCGCCGCAGATAGGTCCGGGAATATCTTTATATCAGCGTATTTGCCGGGTGCGTTTTTATTTGTTCTGCTCTGTTTTAAGATTATTTCTTTAATATGATGGTAGTGAGCGCACAGGATGACATCCCTTGGGACTGAGGGTGGTAGGTGTGAAGGTTTAGGTATTCTGTGTACTCTATCCAAGAGGAGCATGTCTGGCGGTGTGTCTGGCGAGAGCACATGGAAAAATTCGTGCACATAGGCCTGGAGGTCCGCAGGGGCCACCGTTTCTGGTATGCCCCGCAGTCGTAGATTATTCCTCCTCGCCCTATCTTCAATATCCATGAGCTTGTTCTCCATTGTGGATACTGTGGCTTGCAGTGCGTTCACCTGGTCTATTAGGTGGTTATGTGCCTCTTGTGTTTCCTCTATCCTCTCCTCCACGCGGGAGGTTCTCGCTCCCAGCTCCCCTATGTCTTTCTTCAGGCTTGATAGGCCTTTTTCCCAGCCAGCCATCATTTTGCTGGAGAACGCTCCCAGCTGTTCCAAAAGAAATTGCTTGGTGACCGGCTCTTCCATAGTCTGGTCGGCAGAGTCTGTAAGGAGGTTGCTGTCGTGTGTTTCCTCCCCGCCATCTTGTTGGTGCTGCTGGCTTGTATATTTGTTTTGCGCGGCAGTTTGACCAAAAAAATTTTGTTTTTCGGTTTTGGAGGCTTGCCTTTTCTGCTTGGGTTGTGACATGTTCGTTTTTGGCTTGTCAGGGTCGTCTATTGCGGGTTTTGAGACGCCTTTGTCGGAGCCCATGTGCAGGAGCTAGAGATTACACGTCCATCTTGCTCCGCCGGTAGCCACGGCCCCCCTACATGACATTTTAACGGTCAATGTCATAATACTGTTTGCTTTTCCTGCAATAAAATACACATATTTGTATTCAGCAAAGTCTCACGTGTAAGACAGTACCCCCTATGTACAGGTTTTATGGCGTTTTGGGAAGTTACAGGGTCAAATATAGCACGTTACATTTGAAATTGAAATTCACCAGATTGGTTACGTTGCCTTTGAGACTGTATAATAGCATACCATTTGCAATAGTAGACAACCCAAGGTATTGCAAATGGGGTATGTCCAGTCTTTGTTAGTAGCCATTTGGTCACAAACACTGGCCAAAGTTAGCATGTGTATTTGTTTGTGTGTTAAAAATTCAAAAAACACCAATTTTGGCCAGTGTTTGTGACTAAGTGGCTACTAAAAAAGACTGGACATACCCCGTTTGTAATACCTTGGGTTGTCTACTATTGCAAATGGTATGCCATCATAGGGGTAATTTTCAATCTTGGGCTACCATAGGGTCTCAAAGGCAACCTAACCAATCTGGCGAATTTTAATGTGAAAAAAATGAAACACAAGCCTTATATTTGATGCTGTAACTTTTGGAAACACCATAAAACCTGTACATAAGAGGTACTGTTGTACTCGGGAGACTTCGCTGAACACAAATATTTGTGTTTCAAAACAGTAAAAAGTATCGCAGCAATAATATCGTCCGTGTAAGTGCTGTTTGTGCGTGAAAATGCAAAAAACGTCACTTTTACTGGCGATATCATTGTTGTAATACATTTTACTGTTTTGAAACACTAATATTTGTGTTCAGCGAAGTCTCCCGAGTAGAACAGTACCCCTCATGTACAGGTTTTATGGTGTCTTGGAAAGTTATAGGGTAAAATATACTGCTAGCAAATAGAGCAAATGGGTTGTCAGGCAGGTCCCGCTAATTGTAATTAATTAAGATACCTAATTATCTAAAAATATTACATAAATATATATGTAGAATTAATATATGTATATATATACGTATGTGTATATATATGTATATATCTATATAATTTTTAAAAAATATTTTTATTTATATATAGCTATATATATAGTGATATATACGTATATATTTATGTATATAGATATATATATTATTTCGTTCTACGTGTATTTTGATATATATATATTCATTTCACAATACAGTTAGAACGAAATAACACACATCTATATATTTTTTAATTATTTCTTTTTAATTATTTTTTTATTTTATTTTTTAACGTATTTACATATTTAATTTTTTTATATTATATATAAATATATATATGACAATAATTATATATATATTTAATCAGTATCAGTCTACGTGTAATTTGATATTAATATATATATATAATTATGTATATATTAATAGTAAAATACACCTAGACGGTGTACGTGGGTGTATGTATATGTATATGATCTAAGTATATATATATTTTTTTTACACTAATACATTTTATTTTCATTTTATTTTCAGCCAGCAGGGGGACCACCTGTCATTACAGGCAGCCCCCCTGCTGACAATGCAGGAGGCAGCCTACCCGGCCATGTGATTGTGGGGTCCTCGCTAGGACCCCACTCTCACATGGCCGGGGAACACCGGAGGAGAAGGATCTGCCGCGGTGGACTCCCTGGGAGTCCCCCCCACCACGATCGCCGGCGTGGGACCGCCGGCGACCGGGTAAGTGAACAAAAACCGGAGGGCGTACAATTACGCCCGGCGGCGTTTAGAGCCACCTAAAATAGGGCGTAATTGTACGTCTTCCGGTCAGAAGGGGTTAATATAACAAATTCCTCACTAGTTTTCACACCAAAAACGTTATTCACTACAATGAGAATTCAAGATGAATTCAAAGTGGATTTAAAATGTAATTTCATTTTTATTTTAATAGTTGAGTCAGGATTTTTTTAAATGTATTTATATCTAGGATTGTTTTTCATTTGACCTTTTTTGGGGCAAGAAGATAAGTTCATCTGATGGTAAGCATATTTATTTATTATATTGAGATACCTCACAATATTTAGGGTGGAGAGTAGTTAGAGTATTTCTCTTGGTTGGGTGACTAGGGGCTCGGAATCCCTAACTAACCAGTGTGAGTATCCACAATTTTAACAGAGGTGGACAATAGTATGGTGGACACCTATTTCTTGGACTTTTTATTATTAGCACCAGCCATTGTTAATCTGTGGGGACTGGGGAGTAGCAATAGATCCTTCATAGTTGATATTTGTAGCCCCCAACTGCCACCAATGGGTGGTGGATGGGGGAGAATAACTCATCTTGATTATTATTTAGAGACCACCACCAATAGTCAGAGGCTGGGAGGACAATAGGTTTCATAATTATTGGGCTTCAAATTGGGGATAGGTGGGAGGGCAGTTATTAAATAGTGCCCCCATCCACTGCCAATGGGTAGGGACTGAGGGGGACAATAACAACAGATAGACACAGACAGGCCCACAGAGACAAGAACAAAATCTTACAAAAATGTTCATAGACATGTAATACAGGGCTCTAATGCTATCAAATACAGAGTAGTGCAAATTTTGTATGTCAGAATCCATTGTAATAAACCCTATAATTTCTGGTGACTTGTCTCTGGTGTCTCTATAAGTGGCTTACCAGAGTGCTGTTTGTTGTGTAGTGTGTGTAAAAATATACCTGTTTGTTTTGTGTTTGTAGTCAGTGGCGTACACACGACCCATGGGGCCCCGGTGCGAAAATTGATCCGTGCCCCCCCCCCTCCACGCTTACTCTGCGCGGGCAAGAACATATGGCGGCGGGCACCTGGTCGCAGGGGTCACAGCCCTGTGGTGTGTATGCCAGTGCATGCAGATACACACACTTAAAGGACCACTACAGACTCCCAGATCACATCAGATCAATGAAGTGGTCTGGGTGCCAGGTTCCTCTAGTTTTAACCCTGCAGCTGAAAACATTGCAGTTCCAGAGAAACTGCCATGTTACACTGAGTAGAGGCAGCCCTCTAATTAGGCGGTTTAGGCGGCCGTCTAAGGCCTCGCGCTGGTTGGGGCTTCGTGGCCGCCTAAACCTCCTGTAGGCAGACGGTGTCGGGTCCTCGGTCAGTGAAAGAGGCCCGGCGGCTTGCACCCGTATGCCGCCGGGTACGTAGCCCCTCCTGGTTGCCCGGCCCACCACTGCAGACACTGGTCTGCAGCGCCGAAAATGAACAGAGCTGCAGACCATGTGTCTCACAAGAACTGGCAAATCAGAGTGTTGCCGCGGGTTACCACAGCAACGCTCTGATGGTCTCACGAGATGGTCTGCAGCTCTGAGTAGTAATGCCCACCGGACCACCAGGGAGCCCACTGGACCACTAGGGAATAAAGGTAGGTTCTCTCACTCTCCCTCATCACCCTCAGCATCACCCCCCCTCAGCATCACCCCCCCACACCACCCTCAGCATAACCCCCCACCCCCTCAGCATCATCCTCCTGCCACTACTCCCTCAGTATCACCCTTCTCAACAATTCTCAGCATCACTCCTCACCAACATGTGCATCACCCTCTTCACCACCCTCAGCATCACCCCCTCACCCACCCCTGTGCATCAACTCCATCAACCACCCCCACCACCCCTAGCCCTCATCCCCTCACCTCCACCCTCAGCATCACCCCCACCACCCTCAACACTCTCACCACCATCATCATCACCCCCACCACCCTCAGCTGCCACCACCTCAGTATCACCCCTCATCACTCCTCAGCATCACCCCCACCATCCTCAAAGGCCACCCCCTCCACCACCCTTAGCATCACCCCCACCACCACCTCAGTGTCACCCCCCACCACCCTCAGCTGCCACCCCCTCACCACACCCCCTTCAGCATCACCCCTCATCATCTTCTCAGCATCACCCCCACCACACCCTAGTGTCACCCTCACCACCCTCAGTGGCTACAACCCCTCTCACCACCTCAAAGTACTCCACCACCTCTCAGCATCACCCTCACACCAACCTCAGCGCCACTCCCTCACCACCCTCAGCATCACCCCTCACCACCCCCAGCATCACCCCATCATCATCCTCAGCATCACCCCCACCACCTGGCTACCCTCACCACCTCAGCCACCCATCCCCCACCACCCTCAGTATCACCTCACACCATCACTCCTCACTATTAATCCTCACTATCAACTCCTCACTAATTCCTCAACATCAACATCAACCCTCCCTATCACATCACTCCCTCACCATCACCCCTCCTCGCTTCTCACATTACCCTCCCCTCTCACATCACCCTCCCTCTCATAACCCTCTCACATCACCCTCTCTACATCACTCCCCTTTTCCTCTCACCATCACTTCCTCTGTCACTATCACTCCTCTACCATCACCTCCTCTCACTATCATCTATCTTTTACTATATCCCGCTTCCTCTCTACCATCACCTCACCATCACTCTCCCTCTCTGTCATCCCTCTCACCATCACCTCTTCTCACCATCGCCCCCTCTCACCATCACCCCCTCTCTCCATCAGTCCATCTCACCATTACCACCTCTCCCTCTCACCATCACCCCCCCATACACACAACACACTTCAAGCAGCTACCCCATACACATAGGGTCTCAGACAAAAATGCAAACATGCTCACAGAGACATACATTCACACACAAGGACACTCTCTGTCAGACACACTCTACGGGGATACATACACAGGTAAACTGTGCATCAATGTGTATATGTGACACTTTTTTGTTACTGGGGCCTCATGTTTGAGTTTCGCCTAAGGCCTCATAAAGTCTAGAGCCACCTCTGACACTGAGGGTTAATCCAGCCTCTAGTGGCTGTCTCACTGACAGCCGCTAGAGGCGCTTCCGCGATTCTCACTGATTCATTCTCTGCCATGCTGTCCTTTCATGGTTCTCGTCCTATCTCTCCCAAAGTTCATTCATGGTCTCCTTTTATAATAACACCACCTCCTCTAATGCTGTCTTTGCTAGAGTCAACAAATGCTCTGTTCTATGTCCCCTTTTCTTTTCTCTTT